GTTGATAATCATTCAAATCATGCATGTTATCTATTTCCTGCATATCATGCTCCACCTCATTTGGAATAATCTCATCTTGATTTTCAATAATTATATCATTCAATTTTTCTTCAGGAAATGATTTGGGTTGATTAATAATAGGCTTTTGCTCCACCTCATTTGGAGCATCATTTTCAGGAATAGGAACATGTAAAGGTAAACAAGGAAATTCATTTTCATTAAAGACAACGTCTCTGCTTATCACTACCTTAAACCCCGGTTCACTCTTATTCCAAAGCCTATAACCTTTTACCCCTTCAGGATATCCTAAGAAAACACATTTCTTAGATCTAGGTTCTAACTTATCAATCTTTTGATGCACATAGCCAGCACTCCCGAAAATTCTCAAATTATTTAAATCAAGAGGTTTGCCCGTGAACACAAATTCAGGGCATTTCCCTCCTAAGGGAACAGAAGGAGACCTATTAATCAAATAGGCCGCAGTACAAACAGCTTCTCCCCAGAACTTCTTGGAGAGCCCAGATGTGGCCAACATAGCCCTCACCCTCTCTAAGAGAGTTCTATTCATCCTTTCAGCAACCCCATTACATCAGCATGCAAATATTCAAGTACACTAGTGCACTTAGACTGATTAGGAAAAGAAGAAGTAGGAAAAGTAACCCTATGTTGTTTTCCTAGCACACAAGATTCACAGAAAGGGATGGGGGATATTTTATCACTACCAAAGTGACCTCCTTTATGCAAAATTTCTAATCCTTTATTACTCATGTGACCTAATCTATTATGCCATAAAACAGATTTATCACCTATCACAGAGTTAACAGAATCAAGCACAGGTTCAGCATGACAAATATACAAATTGTTTTGTTTTTCAGCAGTAAAAACAACAAGAGACCCTTTTTGAATTTTCATAACCCCTTTACCCCATTTTCCCTCCAAACCATCATTTTCTAGAGATGCACAAGAAATCAAGTTATAACGTAAATCAGGAACATGCCTAACATCCTTCAAAGTAAACACAGAACCAGAGGAAAACCTAAGGCATACATCACCAGTTCCTAAAACATTGCATTTCTTTTCATTTGCCATTGACACAAAGCCATTCTCTATTTTCTTGTAGTTTGAAAACAAGGTTTTAAAAGGAGTCATATGAAAAGTACAACCAGAGTCTACTAACCAATCTGATTTACACAAAGGATCAGATAACACAGAGTTCAAATATGCATAATCACACAGATTATTAATCATGAAAATCTCACCCATTTTGCCCTCACAGACAGCCATATTAGCATGTTCATTTTGCTGATTTTTCTTAGGCTTAGGACAATCTTTAATAAAGTGACCAGTTTCATGACAATTATAGCATTTTTTAGCTTTAAACCTGGACTTAGATCTACCCCTTCCATTTTCAAATTTTTTCTTACTTGATTCCCCATTACTAGCATTCTTTTGGTAATTAGACCTATTCTGAGGCCTACCCCTCACATGCATAACCTCACCAGAATTTTTATTTCCCCCAGAATGTTTTAAATCTAATTCCTTACTCTTAAGACCATTGACCACAACATCAAGGGTAACCTCATCTCTACCATATTTAATAGCAGATTTCACATCACTATATGAGTCAGGAATAGCATTTAGAAGGGCAATAGGAGTATAATCATCTATATGTTTATCACCAGTTAACTTAATATCTGAAATAAGTTTTGTGAAAACATCTAGGTTCTCCTCAATGTCCTTAGACATATCCAATCTAAATTTGAAAAATTTTTCAAGCAAAAACATTTTACTGGGCAAAGAGGTTTCAGTATAGAGTTCTTCAAGTTTATCCCAAAGGATTTTAGCAGATTTCAAAATTCTAACTTTTCTAAGCATAGAGTCATATAAGTTCAAATAAATTTTTCAGTGTCAGAGGTTAAATAAGTCTGACCAACAGCCCTAACGGACTTCTGTTGAATTAAGATGCATTTTATTTTTTGTTTCCAAATGCTAAAATCAGATTTTCCGTTGAACGGAGCCATACCATATTGGATCATACTATATTGATTAGCAGCAGACATTTTTTCACACAGAAAAAACAAACAGCAACAAAAAAAAAATGAACAAATCTGATTTCGGTAATTATCCGGCTCAAAAAACGTGTGAAGCAACTAGCACGAAAATGAGAAGAACGATGAACACAAAGTTCTTGTTTCAATCTCTTTGATCTTTCACACGAGCACTCCCAAAAAACAGTATTTTAATTTCCCAAAAAAATTAACAGACCCAAAATTTTTCCCAAAGATTTACTGTAATTTTTCAACAAAGCCAGAGATTAAACTGTAATTGATACCATTGATTTAACTGTAATTATTCAAACAGATTGAATGCAGAGGAACAACAAAATGGCGATGCAGACAAGATCAAGCTAATAACTACAGAAACAGATTTCCGTCACCTCACCTGAGCGAAACCCTAGGGGAGGGTTTCGACCTTACCCTTGCGGCGGTCCGGCGGCGGCGACTGGTGGCGGCGACCAACGGCGGCGACCGGCGGTTTTGAGCGACAACGAGTCACCGGAAGCTCTGATACCACTGTTGAGAATATTTGATGTCGTTTGGCTCAGAAACCTGCTGGTGAAAAAATGGGAACTGGGCCTAGTAGCATGGGCCAGTATATTTGGGCCAACTAAAATATCAACAATATGCATAATACATCTACCAGGCTTTTGTTTTTTCAAAAAATTAAATAAAATTTATTAAATTCGCTCACTATGGTAGCTTTTAAAACCTCTAGTTTGATTACGGTGATCCTATACGGAATTATGTTGCTCTTTGAATTAGAAATAAAGGGTGGGGATTAGAGTAATCCGACCTTGACTTGAATTATCATCCAATTGTTGGAGAGAATCTAAATCCTAAAACCAAATGTAGTCCTCCTCCTCCAAACCCCCTCACAATCAAATCCTTTCCACTATAAAAGTACCTCCAAAATTTTGAGACGATTTATTATTCGAAACATACTACAAATCATCTCCTAAATGGTAATATTAATAATATTTAAATTATCTCCAAAGTTTAAAGAAATAGTAATCCCATGAGATGTTGAGAATCTCTGATTGCATGCCTACCTCTCATCGACCACGTAAACTTTTGCAGCGTCTGCAAACAATGGCAATCATCTCCATCGGGTCATTCTGAACTAGTCAACTTCTCTAAAGGATCAACTATGGCTATTTCTCTTGATGGAATTTGTGGACCCGAAAAGGGACTTTGGATAAAAATAAACTCTTGGACAATGGAGGGGCTGACAAAATTTCTTTGACTCAAATAAGGGAGTACAACTTTCTCATAAAAGACTACACCTCTCTTTCTATCACAAGTTACTCTCACACCTCTCTTTCTATCACAAGTTACTCTCACACTTAAGTTACTCTCACACTTACGCACTCGCACACTAGCTTTCTCCACTCTCCTCTACTTCTTTCTCTTCTTTTCACTTGGCTTCATTGCTTGCTTACAACCAAATGAAGGGGGACTCATATATATAGGTCTGGTAGGACTTTCTAGAAACAATTTATTCATGAAGGCTTGACTCCTTGAGATATTTCTAGAAGAATGGAGAAATGTTGCTGCTGACATTTAACATTTCTATGATGACCTAGAAAAGGATGAAGCAGATACGCCTATATGCTACATCTATAGTGAAACCCATCCTCAATGTTGCACGATAAAGTTGCGCGGTCTGGAGGGCACCGTTGTCGATGAATTCAAGCTCAGTTGGTTACTTTGCTCGTCAAAGTAAAGCTATTCTTCCTCTACAATCCACTTACTCTTTCAAGAATCGACCTCCCGAAACTCCATGTAAGCGGTGGTTATGCCTGTACTTTCACATACCTTCCTGCTAACCAAGAGTGTTGCACTATTGACTGTCGCTAACCTGACGAGTGGAGTGAGTCATCCTTGGAAGTGAGCACATGCTGTGTTGGTGACAAAGAGTGGTAGAGTGGCGACTTGCAATCATACCGACCATGATCACCCAGATTTATGCAGTCCTCCGAGGGAGAGAACAGTTATTTATGACTCTCAAGTATTAAATGGAGTATAGCCCTGTTACAAAACAAGAGATCGTTGATCTGTGAGTTTTGGAAGAATGGGAGGACCCCTGCGTATAGGACATAGCAACTGGAAGCGGAAAAGGAGCATATAAAAAGATGATGTCGAAGCACCGCGAAGAATGGAAGCAGAAACCTGGAGACAGGGGTGTCACATTTACCTCTTGGAATAAGCTTGAAGGGGCATGAGTGATCTTGCCGATTGTTATTCTTGGTGAAATAGCCAAGTTTGACACGGTAAAGGCGGCGAGCTTTTTAGAACCAGAACCTAGTTTGAGTTGGTAAAGGAGAGCTTTTCAGAACCAAGCTAGTCGATCGATAAATCTCGTTCTAGTTTATGTTTTCTTTCTAGGGTTTACGGGTTCTTCGTGTTAAAAAGATCTCATTATACTTCGATGCAATAGTTTTGGTTGAAGTCTTGGTCGAGATGCTTCCTACGCCCGTGTATATCTAACATCCAGCTGCGTTTACAAATTGATAAGATTTGCACCACAATTCTAGCTATATTGTTGATCGGGGAAAAGAGGAATCAAAGAATCTTCAACCAAGAAAGTTTTGAACTATCAGACATTAATCACAGTCACAACTCCAGCAGGTCCTATTCGACTTCTGGTGTCGTCGCATTAAGACGATGATACGTGTAACACTAACAGTACATGACATAATATGTCTCGAACATTATGTACCCTTCACTTCCTCCTCCGATAATTCGCCTCCTCAATTTCCATTGGGGGCACAAAAAAAGAAGCTGTTCTTCTGTGAATATTCTAGCGTTCAATGCCTACTATACTCACTGCAATCTTTAAAAACAGCACAACTAGCAAATCAAAATCAGAGGAAATTGGCGAGCTAAGATAGAACATGAGCATATACTTTGCAGTAAAACAAGGACTAATCCAAGAAGCGTTACAAAACTACACTAAAATTTTATAAATAGGTTAGACTCGAGTTTTACATTCTCAAATTGCATACATTTTCTTGCACTCATCCACGTCCTCTATCACAGACAATGACCTCGAAAATGACCTACTCAGTGAAGATTTCTTGATACTCCTCAGCTTTCTAGACTCCATCCTGTGTGCAATCACCCAATACAACATGGTACCAAGAGTCGTCGCCAATATTGTGGTTCCTATAAATGTCACTCCAATAGCCAACCACTTCCCATGAGGACCAACAACAATAAAAGACAGCGCGAGAAAAGATACACTTATGAGAACACAAGCGAGCCACATCAGCTTATTAATAATCGCCATCATCTTCTTCTTCGCACTGCTCTCTATAACCACCACAGATGTTTGCACTACCACAACCGCTAAAGATATGAAAAGTGCGACAGAGTCAAATACGAAAAATATCATAAACGCCGTCTCATGTGCAATATGAGCTTCTCCTAAAGAAAGTCCTGGAGCAAGATCTTTATGCTGGATATACTCACCAGGGACGGTAAATATTGCAGCAAAGGCGACAGTTGCTATAAGAACAGCAACTACTGTGGTGGAGTTTATTGCATTATTGAGGCCTTCAATGTGGAGTTTGTTGATTTTTTTGGCGATTCCTTGGACTCGTTTTCGAGTCTGACGAGAGTGCTCGAGTTGGGAATGTACCTCGTGTTTTATGTCGCTGACTGTTTGCTTTAGTTCTCGTGCAGGGTTTGCAGGTTGTAGGGTTTTTGCACTTTGGACCCCGTGCTCTGTTAGAATGGAGGAGATGGCGGTGTTTACCATTTTTACTGCTGTGTCGAGGGCAGTTTCTCCGGATTTGTTGATGACTTTGGTGTCTGTGTCCTTGAAGTTTAGTAGTCTCTTTACTATCTGCAGAGGTTTTTCTAAGTATATGTTAATGTGGTTCTTTTCTGGAAACAATAACAATGACAACAAAATGACAACAAAGTCTATCTCCCAATTGTTTCTGCTCAGCTACATGTATCATATTCTTTCATTCGGTCATGTTACCAACTTATCTTGCTTAATTGCTCCCAACCAAGTCGTCTTACACCTAACTTTAGCCTGACAAAAGTAATGAATCAGCTATGGATGTAAATGTGATTATATGACACTTGGATAATTGTTCACAATCAACTATATTATTGTACATAGTAAAGTAAATTTCAATAAATCCCGATAAGTTTGGGCCTTTTGCAGTGGACCCCCAAACAGTTTAAACTCTTATTAAGGTAATGGAAAGGTGCTAAAAAGCGGGGCCTAGCTGCATCTTTACCAAATTTACAGTGGTTGGTTCAAGTTGAAAAGCAAGTAAATGTGATGAAACCTGATGACTTTTGCTAAGATTGGAGGGTAAAGTGAAATCACTCCATTTTAGAGTGAAATTGGGAGAAAAGTGACTTTGTGTCAGAGGCAAAACGAAACAAAAAAATAATAATAAAACTATCAAAAAATATCAAATGAACCAGTTACCACCCTCCATGAAAACTAAACAAAAATAAACTATAGGTTTCTTTTAACTTAGTACCCTTATATTTGTTATATTTTAAAACCAGCCCCTCAAATCATTCAAATAATTACTAGTTTCCCTGGATCGTGAAAGCTGAACAACATTACACTACAGGTCTCTTTTAATATTGTCCCTTAAAGCTTTCATATTTTGAATTTAGCCCCTCAAATCTTTAAAATTATGATTAGATTCTCCCATTCATAAATTATTTCAAAATTAGTCCCTCTTATTCTTGAAGTTGCAATTAGGTCCCCCAATTTTTTGTTTCAAGTTAACCCCTTCAATTGCCACTTATACTCGTGATTTGAGGGACTAATTTCAAGATAACTTGACTAATTGGGGGACCTAATACTAGGTTAATGATTTTAGGGGCTTATTTGAAATTTACAAAAGATTTAAGGGACTATTATGGAAAAACTCCTAAAAAAATTTTATAGGGCAACCTTTCACTTTTCAAAATTAAAACAAATCAAACAATGTATTTTTACAATTTTAGGATTCACAATAGAATCCAAACCAAAGAAAGGAAACACTTATTTGGAAAGTGACGAGATGAATGACTACTTTCCAACTTGTATCACAAATCCTCAAATTTCACAAAGACGTCCAAACAGCCCCTTACTCTATAGGGTAAATTTCACTGAACCCCCAATAAGTTTGGGCCTTTGACACTTAACCCCCAAAAAGTCTAAAACTCTCATTAGACCCCCAATTAAGTTCAGTAATTCCAGAAAGCCCAAAATGTTTCAATGAATGCTTTGGAGGTTTAGGGAACTACAAATATGGGCATATGCCATTATGGGGGTTAAGTGGAAAAAATCAAAATATTTTGAAGGAGTTTTTTAGATTTCCCAAATTCAATGGAGGTTTAGGAGGTGTTTGGATGTCTTTGTGCAATATGGGGATTAATAACACAAATTGGAAAGTAGTCATCCACCAGAACACTTTCCAAATGAGAGTTTCCTTTGTTTGGTTTGGATTCCATTGGGAATCCTAAAATGGTAAAAATACATATTTGATTTGCATCTTGTAATTTTGGTAAGTGATAGTTATGTGGACCCAATCAAAAGTTTATTACACAATAGGTAGAGTTGCCCCATTTAAAAAAAACTTTGGAGTTTTTCTATATTAGTCTCTTAAATCTTTCGTAAATTTGAAATAAGCCCATCAGACCGTTAACTTATTATTTCTTAGGTCTCCCAATTTGTTAAGTTATTTTGAATTTTAGTCCCTCGACTCACAAGTAGAAGTAGCAATTGGAGGGGTTATTTTGAAACAAGAAAAGGGGGACCTAATTACAATTTCAAGGATTTTGAGGGGCTAATTTTGAAATAATTTAGGAACCGAAGAACCTAATCGTAATTTCAAAATTTTGAGGGGATAGATTCAGAATATGAAAGATTTAAGGGACAATTATTAAAAGAGACCTATAGTTTAGTGTTGTTAAGCTTTCATGAATTGGGGAGCCTAATAATTATTTCAATGATTTGAGGGGAAAATTTAAAATATAAAAAATATATAATGGATTAAACTTAAAAGAGATATATGGTTTATTTTTGTTTTGTTTCATGTAGGGTGGTAACTGGACAGTTGATCTCTTTTAGGGGCTGTTTGGTTGTATGTTTTTATCATGTAAAATGATGGAAAGTGTAAAAAAGTGGGTCCCAATGTCAGTTTTCATCACTTTGCATTGTTTGTTTAAATTCTCTTTTACATGAAAAGCTTACACCTTTTGATGAGGTGTCACCGAAAGCAAAATCACCAAAATTAGGAGTGATTTTGTTGGAAAGCTTACACAATGTCATAAATGTGTCCAAAAAAATAATAAAAAAGTCAAAACCTTGTAGAAAGTGGTCAGGTGGATAACCACTTTCCATTTTGTGTCATAAATACTCTAGTTTACATTATACTATCCAAACAATGTAATACTATTATTTTAGGATTCACAAAGATTCCTAACCAAACAATGTAAACACTCGAATGGAAAGTGGTGAGGTGGATAACCACTTTCTATTTTGTGTCATAAATACTCTAGTTTCCTAAAGGCATCCAAACAGCCCCTTAACGGTCTTTTTTTTGTCTGGCATGGTGTCAGCTTTCTCACAATTTCACTCCAAGATGGAGCGGTTTCATTTTACCCTCCACCCCAGCAGAAGTTATTAGGGTTCACCACATTTACTTGATGTCAACTTGAAATCAAGCATTATAAATTCGGTGAAGCTGCAGTTGGGCCCCGCTTTTTAGCACTTTCCCTTCACTTCACCTGATTTTTTTTTTTTTTTTTTTTTTTTTTTCCAAGTGTCCATTTCTTGCAGAAGAATGTAGGGTAGTTTTTCCATTGCTCTTTGCAATTAGTGCCATGCTTGAGTCAGCTTCCATCAGGAGATTCACCATTTCGATATGTCCTTGCGTTGCTGCAGTGTGTAAAGCTGTGGTGTTTGTGGAGTCGACAGTCATGCTGAGTTCTGGAAGAGCATTGAGAAGTTCCTTCACAACGTCTAGCCAAATAACTTTTGATCAGTAAAATGCTGATAATTTACTCTCCCTACAATTATCCTGGAAAAGATAGAGTGCTTGGAGACAGCACTAATTAGAAATAAAATGCGAACACGTTGCTCATACATGTAAGCATGTGAGGAGATTAAAAAAAATGTTTCCTCCATAAATCACTTCTTCTCTTGCCCTTTTTATTTCTTGCAATCTATTATGTTTCTTTAAGATACATGTAAATTAAAAAAAAAAAGGTGCTAGAAATGAGAACAAGCTAAAGAATATTTATGCAGGAGCTGTCTCATATAGAAGATCAACAGCAGAAACTAGTTTTCATGAAAGCCATTTCTTTTGGAAATCAGAACCTCAAAGCTCGTAGAGCATGATCAATTTCATTAACTTAAAGATTTACAATTCTACATTCAAAGAAAATGATGAATAAAAAAATTGCAGTATTATGCAGAAAAGAAAACTGATAAGCAATTGCAGGTCAGTTTATAGTGCAAAGTTCAAGAAGTTCAGGAAAAAGTACCACCGCTACAGGAAATGGAAATTGGCAATTTATCTTTTCAACGAACAAGATATACATATATGAACAGCAAGATGACATTTTAACTCTTTAAAGTTAAAAAAAATCACTGAAAGAGCTCATACCTACATCCCCTTGCTTGGCCGCAATGTGCAAAGCATCAAAACCATTCTTCGCCTTTATTCCAGCAGTTCCAGCATCATAATACTTAATCATCTCATTCACTACGTCAATATATCCATACTCTGCAGCAACAAAGAGAGCAGTCTCTCCCGCTTGATTCTGCTTTGTCAATAACTCTCTCAATTCTTCTTCATCTGCGCTTGAAATCATCGCATTAACCAAACCAAGATTCCCATTTCTCGCTGCTGTATGCAGAGGAGTGTCATCTCTCTTTCCTGTCAACTGCTTCGTCATCTTCTGTAAAATGATGGAAAGTGTAAAAAAGTGGGTCCCAATGTCAGTTTTCATCACTTTGCATTGTTTGTTTAAATTCTCTTTTACATGAAAAGCTTACACCTTTTGATGAGGTGTCACCGAAAGCAAAATCACCAAAATTAGGAGTGATTTTGTTGGAAAGCTTACACAATGTCATAAATGTGTCCAAAAAAATAATAAAAAAGTCAAAACCTTGTAGAAAGTGGTCAGGTGGATAACCACTTTCCATTTTGTGTCATAAATACTCTAGTTTACATTATACTATCCAAACAATGTAATACTATTATTTTAGGATTCACAAAGATTCCTAACCAAACAATGTAAACACTCGAATGGAAAGTGGTGAGGTGGATAACCACTTTCTATTTTGTGTCATAAATACTCTAGTTTCCTAAAGGCATCCAAACAGCCCCTTAACGGTCTTTTTTTTGTCTGGCATGGTGTCAGCTTTCTCACAATTTCACTCCAAGATGGAGCGGTTTCATTTTACCCTCCACCCCAGCAGAAGTTATTAGGGTTCACCACATTTACTTGATGTCAACTTGAAATCAAGCATTATAAATTCGGTGAAGCTGCAGTTGGGCCCCGCTTTTTAGCACTTTCCCTTCACTTCACCTGATTTTTTTTTTTTTTTTTTTTTTT